TGTGTGTGCCAGACGCTTTAAAGCAGCAGCTTAGCAGTGGGACACTTTGCCAGCAGCAGCAGCAGCATCATCATCATCTGCTGCAGACACTTGAAAGAAGAAGAGTTAGAAGTGTCAGAAGAAGAAGAAGAAGAAGAAGAAGAAGAAGGTTACGCTCAAATCGACAGTAGCAAGTGAAGCAGCAGCAGCAGCAGCAGTGTAGGCAAGGGGTGAAGTGCCAAGTGCCAAGACAGGCAGCAGCAGCAGCAGCAGCAGCAAAGCACCGAACAGTGCCAAACTCACACGTCACAGGCAACACGTCGCCGTTCGAAGGAGAGCGCTAGAGAAGAGACAGACAGACCGAGACGACGACGACCCCTGGCCAGCCAGCCAGCCAGCCAGTCAAGGAGACTGCAGACACGAACGAAAAAAGAGCTGGTAAGAGCGAAGAAGAAGCAGTCAGTCAGTCAGTTCTCTGCTGTTGTGTAACCCTCACCACTGTCTGCACTGTCTCACTTTGTGTCCTGTCTCTGTGAAGTGCCTTTGTGCACTGTCTGTGAAAATGCCTCTGTGCATCGAATGTTCTGACTGCACTGCCTGCCTGCCTGACTGACTGACTTTGGCAAAGAGTGGTCCTCTGTCTGTCTGTCTTCTGTCTTCTTCTTCTTCATTGTCTGTCTTGAAGTGATCGGCAGCAGTCTTCACCCTCAAACTTCACGCTCATCATTACGCTCATCATCATCAGCTGAAGCAATGACAACCACAACAACAACAACAACAGCCATGCAGCTACTGTGAATCAATAGCTCAGTGGACAGATGCATCTCTCTCTCTCTATCTCTCACTCCTTTCATCACTCAATACCTGACATTGATTCCCCTTTTTCATTGGTTATTTCATTGCCTTTTGATCAACTCGTTCTTCTTCTTCTTCTTCCTCTTCCTCTTCATGCCATCTACTCAGCTGACGAAAAAGGGAAGAAGAACAAGAAATCTGCCTTTTTGTACTCGAGTTCCGCTCTTGACCACTCAATGCTAGTGTGCTCTCCTCATCACCAAAAGTAAGGCCAACCAGCCGATCACTAATACGCGAGCTAACAGTGCGGACTGGCAGGCATAGTGCAAGCAGTTGCACGTCAAAATCAAAAGAGCACACATACATCTTTTCTTCCCTTCCCTTCCCTTCCCTTCCCTTTCCTTCCCTTCGTTCCGACTGAACGGCAAACCTGAGTGAGCCTCACTTTCTCTCTTGCTCTCTCTCTCCCTCCCTCTCCACTGGCCAGTCTCCACTTGCCAACATAGGCACTTTTAATTAGTCGGCAGTTCTCATCGTCATCATCGTCGCCACCACCACCACCACCACCACCACCACCACCACCAAACTCACCAAGCTCACCAAGCTCAGCTTTCGTTCTCGCTCTCTCGCTCATTCATTCTCAGTTAGTTCATTCGTGTACTTTGGCCAGACAGGACAGGACAGGACAGGACAGTGTGTGCAACTCTTCTTGCAAGGCAAAGTGCACACTTTCGCTGTTCCTCTCTCCGACTCTCTCACATTGCCTTTGATGATGATATATCCGACCTGCCTTTTGATCACCACCAGCACCACCACCACCACCATCGACCGTCGACTTCATCGTCGACCTCGCAGTTGCCAACCGAGCAGTCTCCTCTCCTCTCCTCTCCTCTACTGACTGCCTGAACTGCCGGAAAAGTACTACGAAGTGGCGGTAGTAGTGGCGGTGGTGTCTCCAAGCAACCCGGAGTTACCTTCCCAGCGATTTCAACAGCAGCAACAAGTTACCTGTGTCGGTGTGTCGCTTTGTACTTTCCCCTTCCTCCCCCTCTGCCCTCTTTTTTGCCCTTCCCTCATCCGTCGGCCAGCACATGGACCACTCGTACTACACGTCCAGTCAGTGTTCTAGAGTGTTCTACCACCACCGTCAATAGTTCACTTCACTTCTACATCGCCCTCCTCAGTTTGCCCACCTCGACTGCTCCTCTTGATCATAATCTCTTTTTTGTGTCTCATATTAACTTGTGTGTGTGTGTGTGTTCAGTGCTGTTGTGTTCCATTGCAGTGTGTTCTTTGGCAGTGGCCTGCTTTGGCAGACTGCTGCTGGTGCCTTCAGCTCTCAGCTCTTCTTTCAGTGGTGGTGATCAGTGCTGGTGATGATACTCTTTTCAGTGGCAGTGGCAGACCTCATTCTCAGACTCTGACTGTGCTGTTCTGACCTAGCGCCACCTGAGCAACCTGTGCCACACACACACTGTGTACTCTCTTTCCCTCTTGTTCTCCGTTCCTTTCCTTTCCTTTCCCTTCCTCCTCCAGCAACCTCAGCTCATCAGCCCAACACTACCACTGCCTGCCTGCCTGCCTGCCTTGTTACAACATTTCCGCTGATTAATTGGCACCACTACCATCACTACCATCAGTGCTAACCAGGCCAACCAATGGTCAAGTCAGTGGGCAAGTTCTTCTCTGGCCTCTTTGGCAGAGGCAGCGGCAGCGGCAGCGGCGGAAATCGCAACGGAAGCAACGGCAGCAACAGCTCGCCTGAACAACCTACTGAGAAGAAGAGGGGCGAAAAGGGGCAGAATCAGAAGAAGAAGAAGCAGGAGAAGAAGAAGAAGGAGGAGGAGGGCAATCGCAATACCAACTCTACTAGCAAGGTAGGCGACGGAAGCGGCCTGGGCGGTATCTCCACCGTCTGGTCGTCCTTCTTCGGGGAAGGCGCCGGAAACGAGAACGAAGAGGAGGAGGAGGAGCAGGAGCAGGAGGAAAACTGTGAAGACGAAGAAGAGGAGAGCTCTCAAGGTAAAAAGAAGAAAGAGGATAAAAAGGCAAAGAGCGGACTTTCACTGTCACTTCGAGAGCTGACCGACCGCCTGCAGTCATCCCCCGCCAGCAGCACCTTCGCCAAAACCTACGTTCGACCGAGGAGCCTGAACCGAGGAGGAATCCAACAAGTGACCACTACTACTATCAACAACAACAACAACAACAACAACAACAACAACCGACCAGTGCTCCCTCGAAGCCCTCGAAACCGCCGCCCAAGCCTAGGTTTAGGCCTTGGCTTTGGCCGTGTTCGTCGCTGCTTCCGCCTTCGCAGCAAATCACTCTCATCATCATCATCGCCAACTTCGCAGCCAAAACTTTCGCCTGCTCGAGCCGCTCTGCGAGAGGAGGACGCCAGTAATATGCAGTCACCTAAGGATATGTGGATCTCCGGTGCAGACAGCAACAACAGCAACAACAGCTACAACAGCTACAACAGCTACAACAGCAGCAACATCAACTACAGCGACTACAACTGCAATTACAGTGACTACAACTACAACAACTACTGCAACTACTACAACTACAACTACAACAACAACAACTACTTCAGCAACAGTGACATTGACTTGAATCGTGTTCGTGACTATCAAGGCAAAGGCTCGGCAGCCATGCAGCAGCAGCAGCACTCTCGAAGCTTGAGCACCTTCACCACGGTGGCCTCGGTGCACTACGACGAACGGTCGCCGAATGATCGATCTCACCACCAGCATCAACGACCACAGCAACAGCACCAGCCTCATTACACTCAGGAACATCACCGCCGACAGCGCTCTCAATCGAGCTACTTTCCGGACCCTTATCAACAGGTGCTCCTTCAGGTGAATCACCCTCAAGGCCAGTTTCGCCCGATGAATCCTCCTCAGTCGCGACCAGGCCTTCTGCCGAATCCGTCTCCGAACTCTCCTCAACAGTACCGAACTCAGGTGAACTCACCCCCTCAAGGACATGGTCGCCAGACCCCTCAGACCCCGCCGCCCCTTCTGCCTGATCCTCAGCCTCAGCCTCAATTCTCTCCTCAGTCGAATCACATTCAGGGACCTCATCACCACCACCTCCAGTCCTTTCAGCAGCCTGATCACCCTTCTCAGATGCCTTACCCCCAATCGTCTCCACAGTACCGTGCTCCAGGGAATTACCCCCACCAATCCTCGCCACAGTACCGTGCTCAGGTACCTCCCTCCCAATCGTCTCAAGTGAATCATCACCCTCAGGTGAATCACCTCCCGATCTCCCACCGCGAGCACCGCGTTCTGCTGCCTCACCCTCGATCTTCGCCACAGTACCGTCGTCTTCAGGTGCCGCAGGAGCAGGAGCAGGAGCAGGAGCAGGAGCAGGAGCAGCAGTCTCCTCAGCACCAGCCCACAGCTCAGTATGTGCTTCGCCCTCAGTACTCGCCGCCGTCTACTCCTCAGGTAAATCACCCTCAGCAGGTAAATCACTCGCAGCCGCAGCAGCAGGCGCAGCATCATTTTCAGGGCCACTACCGACAGAACTCGCAGCCGCAGTTTTACCGCTCCCAGCGTTCTCAGCGATACTATCGCCAGCAAAACCAACAGAATCGCCAGCAGCAGCAGCAGCAGAACCGTCAGCCGCAGATAAGCTACCCCGTTCAGCAGGAGCACCTGCAGCACTTGCAGCAGCTCGTCCATCAGCACGCCCCCAGCTCGCCCTGCTCCTCTTCCGCTGACTTCAGTTATCTGCCCATGGCTCCGCCGCCGCCCATCTATTCCACTCCGGACATTAAACATCGATCAACTGGCAACTTGCCAGTGACCGCCGCCCTCTCTTCGCTCCGTCTTGGCAACGATCCCAAAGATGATCCCAAAGTTGATGTCAAAGATGATTCCAAAGTTGATCTCAAAGACAAGGGCAAGGGCAAGGGCAAGGGCAAGGGCAACATAGAATCCCGCTCCGCCAGCTCTCCCGTTCCCACCGCCAAGGAGAACCTGCCCTCGCATTGGCTCTCCTCAGAGAGCATCATCACCGTACGGGAGATGCCCGTCGCCAGCTCCACCTCAGTCAAAGAAGGTCGTCGTAGTGGTGGTGGTGGTAAAAGTTCGGAAGATAGCGGAACTTTTTCGGAAGAGAAAGAAGAAGCCGAGAACAGCGGAAGTTCTCCGGGCGAAAACGAAGAACAGGGCGATGGAAGCTCTGAAGAAGTAGAAGTGGACAACGAAAAGGGACGCAACAAAAGCCTTGAAGGAGAGGACAAAGAACAGGGCGGCAAAATCCTTGAGGGAGAGGAAGAAAAGGAGAGCTACGGAAACTCTGCAGGAGAAGACAAGGAAAACAAGGAGGGCGACGGAAACTCCGAAGGCGAGGACAAAGAAGAAGAGGAAGAAGAAGTGGGCGACAGACGTTCTTCTTCCCTTGTTGGAACAGGCAACGAGAGCACCCCTGCTTCACCTGCTTATCAGCCCTTGTCCTTCTCCTCGCCGGAGTACTTCTCCCTGCAGGAGATCTTCTTCCCGGGTGGACCAGCCGTTCCTGCTGCTATCAGCTCCGGCAAGTCCACCGACAATTCCGATTACGCTGAGAACGCCGAGCCGTTGTGGCCATCTTCTGCCACCGCCAAAGGGCCCACTTTTGCCTTTGAACTTTGCCATCCTAAAACGCCTTCACCCGACTACGAGAACCTCCCGCCGCTGCCTTCTGAGGCTGATCCGGCTTATGTCAACCTGCCTGCCGCCGCCGCCGCCGCTGTCTTCTCAAACGTCGAATCCGAGTACCTGGACATGAGCGGAAAGAAGGGAAAGAAGGAAGGCCTCACCAAGGTGGAACAGCCAGAGAAAAGCGATGATGCTCCAGCTGCTGCTGCTTCTAATGCTGACGACGACGAGCCCGACTACGACGACCTTCCGCTGGCAAAGTCCATCTACGGGCAGTACTACAACCAATCGAATCTGGACACTAAACAGGAGGGGGCAAAGGCAAAGATCGAACCGGAGAATGAGTACATCGAGCCGGCGGAAAGCAAGAAGAAGGAGGAAACTAAGGAAAAGGAGGAACCGATCTACAGCAACTGGCCGCCGACCAAGGCGGAAAAGGAAGCGAAAACGGCCATCAACGCTTCGACGACGACGCCGCCCACTGCTGCTGCTGCTTCTTTTTCTTCTTCCTCTTCCTCTTCTTTTTCCTCTCCTTCCAAGTCGCAGCCCTTCTGCTCCTGCTACCCACCACCACCCGTTATAGCC